CATGTAAGACAGCAGCAAAAGCTTTTGATACTCATGCAGACTGTTGTTCTCCCTAGAAAATGAGGGTCCTGGAAGCCTCCAGAACTCCAGATGTGATGCCTGTCAGGGAGAGTTTCCAGCCCTTGAGACACTGCATGGCTTTGGATTGCAGCTAGTTTCACCATAATTTTCTGGACTGCCAGGCCACTTCTAGACTAAACAAATTCTGTGGCAGATCACGCAGTTCCTGCCAGGAGAAGGGATACGAGTTGTATATAATCATGCCAAGAGATGCACTGTATTACCACTTACCCACTGGAGGTCTTCTACTGAAAAATTATGGAAAACTACTAGAACACTGTCTAAGAGACTGTAAGCGGATGAGGCAATTGTGGTGGGGGAACAGGTGATCTTGAGCATTCTACTACCATACAGTTGTTTGGCAAGTGTAATAGTAGCAAGCAGCAGAGTAAAACTGCCTTGCCATGTCTCAGTCTGTAAACAGTAGTTATGCAGTTAATAACCAATTGCATGTTCTGCTACAATTACACACTATATGCAGCATTAAAAATGTTCATGACACATTGCATTCAAAAATTTGTGACTGCTTGTATGCCCATATGCAGTATAGCATTCAAGGCAATGTCTACATTCACAATTAGAGACTTAATTTTTTACAAATATTATTAGACACTGCAAATAACAAGTTTATTATGACGATATTAAATAAACATCTTAAGCTCTGATAAGATTTTTATAGGCAAAAAACACTGAAATTGCCTGGAATAAACCATGGTTTCTCACAGTATAAACAGTGAATAAATATTACTTACATCCTATTATAGTTTCATCAGCTTCAATAATCTCAGAAAGCCACAAACAAGTTCTTCTTAAACTCCCGTAATAGAGAATTAGTATTTCTGCCTTAATTATTCCATTTTAATGGACAGGACTTCATAACAAATTTTACCAACACTAACCACCACCATCTTGAATATTTCACGCAACGCATTTTAACCAATCACATCGTTTCCATTCCACAGATTATACGTACAACACTCTCCTGGATCACAGAACATAGTAATTTTCTTCCTAACATAACAGAGATATGGTGCGTTTTCATGTCCTCATGGCGTCGAGTATAATAACGTGTCTATCGGGAAGTTGCGCCATGTAGTATACACAAGCTTACCGACGTTTCAGAGAAACTTGCTGCCTACATCATCAGGGCGATGATGGGCGCTGCAAACAGCTTTGATATATTACTAAACTTTTAAACTACAGAATTATACTTCACATACACATTCTCACACTCGACTCAACAGTCAAGTTGAACGTGCTTCAACAAGCATTAAAACATACAGTCTACTTTGCAAGTCATCGACTTCCATGGTATTTTATAACTAATATTATTTCCATTCTTGGGTAATTACACTGTTTCGGGCTAGTTTGCTGGCACTTCATAAAATTTTGTCTTGAATATGAAGACAGCAGTAAACCAGCCCAATACAACACAGCATCATGACCTAAGAATCCAAATATGTATACTGCTTTTTAAGCAATAAAATATGCTACTTACGTGAGTCAGGTCACTTCTCAAAAACTGAAATATATTGCTCCAAGTTTCTAAAAATTAACAAGTTTTTAAAAAAGAAAAAGCTGTCATAATGACTGTCATCCGGTATGTTGCGCTGTGTACATTCTTCATGTAAGCAAATTAGTATTTTTCTACTGCAGTATTGACAACTAACTGTAGCTTATGGCTACCTTCATACCCTGATGACGGAAGCAGCACTCTCCTCTAAAACATCAGGCAGTTTTTACCAGATTATATGGTGCTTCTGAGAACCTAAAAACCTGCTGTCATGCCACATCCTGTGTGTAAAAACAAAGTTGCTATCTAGAATCCCACCACATCCTACATAACTCACTTGGAGGGGGTGTCACAATACAGAAGCTGAATACTTCTTTACTTAGAAGAAGAATGTTCTGAAATTAATAAATGACTGTGCTAGAGTACACAATCTGTTGCAACATCTATTCCACACGTTTCAGGTGCTCGTAATTTAATCTTGTCAGCATGCATGAATTTGAGGTGGATTATAAATTAAAAGACAGTAATTATCAACCCAATTAATTTCAGGTATGAATTGTCTGTTAAATAAAATAAATTGCACAACACTTCATAATAAAACATTTCATCACAAAATAGCCAGCTTCTAGTCAGGGTTGTTTTCTGACATCCATATCATTTCAGGCTTCTATGCAGCTTTAGCTAGTATTTGTTTACTACATCACAGCACAGAACAGAAACTTTATCACACAGTCAACATTATCAACCACTCTGCAACTTCAACAGTGTTCCAGAATTATACTTTACATTTTCCTCAGAAGTGGGAGGAATGTCCAACATAGAAATATGTTACATTGACATTTTCTATTCCCATCACATTCCTCAAATTTATAAGCCTCTTTCTGACACTAAACTGATTTGAGATGATGAGGCAGGTTCTGCTAGGGTTACCATAATCCAATCTAGCAATAATCAAATGCCACTTTTCTACATGTTCGTGTTTTGACAGATGGCACAGCCATGCAACATTTAATTTTATGTAATTTCTGCTACATAATCTTGGACACAGTGGTCTGTTTTATGTCAGTAAATCCTTACAAAACAGCCTGACAATTGTTGCATGACTCCTAGAACTAGGAATGGCAGTAAGCAGGTAAACATTTTGCAAATATTTATCAAAATTTTACAAATAAAAGTTCAGTGCAAATAACACATCACTGGGAAAGACTCAAGTCTGGTTTTATAAATTTTATTGGAAAATGGATACTAAATAGTAGAGGTTGTAAGACAACACAGCATTCTTTACACAGTTCAAATCTTAGAACCAATTCTGTTTCATAAATAGCAAGGATGACAATTTTGTTTTCTCAATTTTAATAAACTATCATTAAGAACTAAATACCAATGAAGATTGCAAATATTGTTTTCAGACAGGTCTGAGAAATAATTTTACACAAAAGAATATCAAACACATTCATGCAAAGGAAGGATTAAATTTATGTAGTTCAAACATTCCAGATGAAATTGTTTTATCAATTACATTACACTTGTTTCAAGGATATTGAGCATTAAAAAAGGAACAAAAATCAAAACATGTACACTAGAATATCCCTGAATATCAGTTATGTGGTTTAGAAAGAAAAACAAATGAAGGTGATTTCCAACAGGCCATGCGGGGATTAAAGATTGTCACAGGGTGAAAATTTACATTAGTAACAGCAATATTCCATTCTTACAATCTGACACACTTTCTTTTTTTTGAAAACATCCATTTTGAAGCACATATGTAGCATTTATAAATATGATCTCTTATTAAAGAAGCACATTTAATTTTCAAATATCTACATCCCCTACAATAGCCCCAAAACTATTTACTTCCCCCTTTGGCTGGTGAAATCATCTTCAGACTGAAAACAACCCCTTAAATACAGGGATGTTTGTTTTATTATCTGTCCAAAGTTGTTGCTAGTGCCATTGCCATTTCATTGTCAAATATATACATAATCTGTACAGACTTTCTGGCAATTCAGAGCAGCATAGGCCACTTGCTTGGTGCAAAGCTAGTTACAGCACTGACTGTGAACAACATGCATCTCTCATTTTCTTCAAACCAAGCAAAAACAAGGCAGTACACTTGAACAATGTCACTCTCCATTTCATGCAATATACATTCCCTTACCGAGTTGTAACTGTGTAATAATTTAATTGTTGTAGACAAGCATGCCAAAAACAAACTGATGTCCATTCACACACCCCTCAAAACACAAGTTTATCGTTGAAGATGAAAGATGAAACAAAAACAGCCCCTCCTTCCCCCCATTTCCTACTGCATACCCACCATTCATGTCCTCTTGTGCATTTCAGCAGTCTCCATTTCCAGAAAAGTTATTAAAAAACACAATCCAAAGGCATTTATTTGAGCTAACGTCTACACCGATACGATGTTTCCGAGAGCCTTTTTGTATTCTGACGATGGGAAGGCAGAAAATTACATCATCACAGGAGCACATATCGATATTCACACATCGACTGAGGGCTTACAGTTGATTTGCAGCACTCCCCAACATGAGAGCAATAATAGTTAACATGAAGTCTGCAACAGGGATGAAACCTAGCTGGTCATATTTTTCTTGGGGGAAGCAAAACTTCCGTTATGCTGAGTCAGTCCCGTTGACACATCATGAAGCTGCTGCACATACCTCACACTGAGATGAGTGGAGTCAGGCATCTCACTATCTTCTGAGGGCTTGGAGCAGTGTATCTCTCTGGGACATGGAATTCATGCATGCATTCATTCAGCCATTAGCTTGGAGCAGCATTTCAATATCCCTTCCCCTCTTCAACAGACACTGTGACTGTTAATTTTAATTAAAAACAATTATTAAAATTGCAATCATCTTTTTCACTTGTCAACCCCATGAGATCAGGCCCTCGTAATGATGGCATACTTCCTCCTATAAAAGAAATTCATATATAAATATCTGATCAGCAGATACATTATTAAAAAATAGGCCTCAGAAGTGGTGAACAGTGCAAGTCTGTTCTCTTTTTGTAGAAAGAATACACTGGCACTGAACTTCAGTGAGTATAGCCATCTCTGAATGTCTTCTGAATTTATACACACATTTCAACATTTCTGCCTATCCTGGAATCACTGCTGGAAGTCATTTCAGTGCTATCACACTACTCTGAATATTTCAGTTAATACAAAATTATAGTCTTTAAGATGATTAACAAAAGTACTGTGTGAGGTGCACTGCCAAAAATTTACTTCCTGCATAATATTTTTTTTTAATGAATGTGCTGACACTTGTAATGGATAATTCTCCTGGTACCAAAAACAAGATCAAAATGTTTTTCACCTTCTGACATGCACATAAAGAACACACATTGTGCTCTTTCCTCGCCACTGTAAGTCTCCATTTTGTTTTACACAATTCACAAGCGCTCTCAGTGGCAATGTGAAGGTCTACAACAAACGAAACTTGAGGTTACGCTCTACAGATATCTGCTGATATCAGCGCATTTTGGCTGCAGGTAACACAGTTACAGTTTTCCAAAGGTGTGCAGCTACTTTTGACTTACCCTGTACTTATCCTACCACTGGGAATATGGCATTTCTGGCATTCACTACTATGAAATTTATTTCTTCACCCACCAGGCAGGCAGAGTGCAGTAAAATAAAGCATAATAGAACTACAGGCCCACATCATAAAGAAGTATGTTAATTCGGTTATGACAATTTTAATAAATGTTATGTCTATTAACAGTGGAGAGACTGAATAACAAAAGAGAGGATGTAGGTAAACAGAGGGTTTTCTTTTATGAATTAAAGTTCATATTTGAGATTCTCATGCGAAAGAACTGCTGCATGACAGATATCAGAATGTGCCCTAAATTCTTAGATACTACAAATGCATAAGTTAAAAGAAACATAAAATTGGCACTTAAATTTAACACACTTACAAAAATAATTTTACTTAATTTAATGAGCAAACATCAATTGAGTAAACAACCAAAATATTTGCAGAGTACACAGTCCTTTGATAGGAAAAATGTAGAAGGCAACAAATTAACAGAAAATGAAAATAAAAGACCTAAATAAGATATTTAAAATGGCAAATTCCTGTGCCAGAACTTCCAGCTCATGTACAAGACATTACTCACCTCATTTTAAATAATCATGCCCAAATGAAATAAAAAAATGCCCTACAAACACTCCTCTTGACTTTTCCGTACGCATCGAGCCACTTTTCGTTTGAAATCTGTATAATTTTCTCTCCATTCTTTCTGTAAAGTGTGGGAAACAGAAAGAGTTGAAATGTTTAAATTGCATATATTAAAATGAGACAAAAAATCATGACACAATTGAAGGCTTCAAATCTTATTAGTCCCTTTGGATAGTCATGGACCTCTATTAACCCTGACATGCCCAACTTGATCAGCCAGACAGAATACAATATATCGATTACATTAATCTCCTTTATCAAATCTAGGCACAATTCTGGATTGCTGTATGTGACTGCTCCTGGCAGCAAATGTGAAATGTGATGCTAGCAATATGGGATATAAACATTTCATATATGCAGTCTTCACAGAATGGCAATGAATGGGTCAACTGTATGCATTACACATGAATTTGACTGGCCACAACAATAAAACCTTTAATTCATGACAAACTTATGAAGAAAGAAGGCTGACAGCATAAAATAACTACAGTTGTCACTATCTTCAATCCTTTAATTGTGAGAAACAAGGACTCAAAAATAGTTCCAATTTCAGTTTACTCATCAACCTAATATTCACTTCTGTGTGTTTAATCAGCTCAAAAGTGCAACTATGATCATGAGTTGTCATTTCTTCAAACAAACCTTGGTCTTATTTGAGTGAATGTCTGAACACACAAAATAAAATGTACTGGAGCACAGACAATCCAAAGTTTATGCATGAAGTTCTGTGTGGTTTGCTGTCTACTAACACACAGACTACTCATACTTTAATGACAAGATTTTTAATACTGGACCTTTGTCCTGAATCTTCTCTGACACTTCCTAACAGAATTACATTCCACATAAGATCCATACAAAAATACTCAATGTTATAGTATAAACTTATGCAAGTCCATAAATACTGCAAAGGAGTGCACACCATTTCATCTAGATGTATGTATGCATGTGTATTTGCACATATATATATCCATTTGCAGTCAGACAGTAAAAACATTTTCAGGAAAATCTTTAATTGCTTTTGATGGACCCTCCCTGTGTAATATTTTCGTGCATGTACAGAGGTACTGGGAGAGTATTGGGGGGAGCAATTTTAAAATATTCTTATTATCAATGCATTCTATGTCTAAGAAATGATTAATGGAGGATGCATTCTGACCTAATTTTGTCTAACATAGACTTTATTACATTCTCCTTTTTCAGTTTATCTTGAACTTCAGCATAAATAAAATGTAGGTTTGAAAACAAGAGCAGTAACTCATCCAATGGTAATGCACCAAAAAAAAGACTGGTATTTGAGATAATACCTTAGTATCAGCTATAACTGGAAGTGATCAGTATAAGTTCTTTTGGTAGGAGGCGTGGTTTACATGTTCTTTTTGTTTCCTTTCAATATGGTTTCCTGCAGGATCAGGTACAATAAATTCAGATCAAGGAAAAGATTCAAATAACCAGCAATCTCAGTTCTCCAATTAAAACTTCATGGTACAACTTCTTTACATTAAGTATTTCACACTGAACTAGTTATGCTTGGTCCAGGGTCCAAATAAGTAACGTCAAGCCAGCTACTTACTGATGTCCTCTAGTCACCCGTACCACTCTCATTCTCACTGGCATCAACGTCACTATTTCACAATCATTATCACAGAAAATAAGCCTCATATATTTTCATTACTATTGTCAAAAACAGACACCATTTCTTCATCGTCACACATTCTCCTCTTTGTCATATTTGCCAACATACAACAAATAAACCTCGGGTGGGGGGGGTGGGGAAACTAAACACTTCATCGATGAGCATGAATTTGCACACATAGGAAACAATGGTTTCATGCACTTTCATAGCACGTAAAACCTGTCTTACTCTGAAAAGACTTCCTCAGAACATCAATGCCATCTGACTATCAGTACATTCAAACCTTTTACAAACTTTGGATATATCTGGTTGCCCCAAGAAAATGGTTAATTTCAAAATATTCCTAGCAATGTAATGTAAGATATAGAACCTTTTATACTTCCTTCTTTATGAGATGCCATAATTCAAATACAATATACTTACTGCTGCATCTACGTTGGCTGGACTCTCATCGTTTGGATCGGCCAACATGGATATGACTGAGATTAAAATAGTCTCCACCGTATGAACTGGTAGCCATCGTTCCGATGCCTTCTCATAACCCCATTTGTCATCGCCTGGCTCGTGCAGGATTGATATGCACACATCACCATTCTTCTCAACTATAAACATGTAATACACTGTTAAACCAGTGTTTATACAGGTATAAAGGTCGGAGATACCAACATGAGCCAATAAGACATGTGTTACATTTTTCTGACAGAATTACATTCATGTAGACTCATTTTAGGTTCACTGGCCAGTAACACAACTGCCTCCTCCACTGTGAAGAAGTTTATATAGTGGTTGCAATTACCATAAAAACAACGGTTACATATCAAAAACTGAAACAGCACAAACCATGGAACAAAGATTAGACAAAGACACAAAATCCTACAGCAAAAATTTACCTTCAGATCAAATATCAACACTTGGTGAGTGGTTTTTGGTTGCTCAGAACAATTTATAAGTACTCTGCATTTCTGTACTGCACAACTCCCACTTTCATAAAGATCTTTGGACCAACAGTGAAAGTTACATAAAGAAAAGAGTGATTCAACATTTTCAAAAAGATAAGAAAATACCATGATCCAAACTGCAGAAATCCGCTTCTCAAGTACCAAAAACTATTCTGTATTAAAATTAAAGCTGTCCTGCTATACACCATGGAGGCATTTGGAGGGGGAGACAGCATAGCCCCTACTCATTCTTAACACTAATTTCTTCTCTCAATACATTTACATTTTTTAATGTATTTACCACAAACTGAAATGAGAGGATGCATCCTAAGGGACAAGTGATGACATCTAAACCACTGAACCAGTGCACGTCAGCAAGCTGCCCATTACAACATATCACTGCTGGATTTACTCACGTAATATGGCCATATTTTTGGCAGGCCATGTTTATAACAAATGTTTTAAACAAGGTATTATATCGCAGATTCATACATCTAATTTTAGTTGGAGCTCCTCATGACAAACTGCATTAGAATGATTTAAAATAAATGCAATATTTATATTTCTTTCACACTAAATGTATGTAACCTATGCTTATAATAATAATTGAGGTAACAAGTAGCATAAGGACAACTGTTCTACAGATGGATTGAATGTAGTGCTAAGCGTCTTATATATGAATATATATGTATATGAATAACTCGTGTAAGTAAAGTAAAGTTTGTCCCACTATGGATAATGACACATCAAAACCACTTCTACCATGAACTACAGGAACCAGAGTTTACAACTACAAGTGCCATTAATGTGTAAATATGTAAGCCTTCCTTCATTCTATTCTCTTGGTGTTATCATTGTATTATAACATTTCTCATTACAACTTGTGGTTGAGGCTTGCATGATCACATATATTGTGGCATGGAAGGAAGTAAAGGTCGGAAGAGAGGAAGCAATCAAAGAATGAAAATTATCGACAATATAGGATTACCACATGAATTAGAGTGAAATTTAACCACTGCAACAGCATTTAAGGAAAGGAATTTTCAATAAACCCTATTATATTTATACTTTATTTGATGATGATGCTTGCAGCTCAGACCATATACAATGTCAAATGATACAATTACTAATACAGCCAATAATGAACTGGAAAGGCAGGAAGTGGTTATGGTTTACTTTAAGATACCATCCCATAATTTGCCTAGAGGGAACAAAATCTTTAAGTATATTTAATTAGCCTGTGTATGGTGATACCACTGACATGCTGAAACCATTTTGAACAATAATTCTTTTTAATAATAAATGTTTATTATCTCTTAAAATTATAAAGGCAGGGAATGGAGAAGAAAACCAGTCTATTAATATTACACAACATGAATTTGTTTTTTAACATTCTTTAGAAGCAATAAATATTATAAGAAGTTAATCATATCCTATCCTTTTCACTTGATTTAACAAAGTATGTTTCAGACAGAAGCTGTAGAATTCAAACACAAAAAATATTAACTTAATATTATTCTAATATAACCACTTAATGCACATGATTATAAAGTAAAAAACTGAATATGACAGCCTTCTGAGAAGCTGTGTCCTGATACATCAATCAACTTATACAAGGTAACACAGTGCAAAATCCCAGAAGGCTGTCTCTTCATAGCTGCTGCTGTGAGAACCTGATATCTCACTCAGTAACCAACTGCTATAGGAACACTACATGCAGGTAGTTTTCTCTGCCAACAAATACAAGCCTCAAGTAATTAAGGTCCAATTGTTGCAACATTTTGGCAAGCAGCACACACACCTTATTTTTACTATGAAATTAATATACACACACTAAATTGCCAACAATTATGATTTTCCAAAATAAAATTAAAATTTATGAAACATAAAACTGCCTTGCTAAACCTGTATGACACCTTATCTTATTATGTACCTAACTGTGACTGCAGATCAAGTGACCCAAAGGAGCCAAATAGCTTTCTACATATATCTCTAAGCAGAAGGTACAGTATACCTGTGCACAACACATTTCAAACAAATTACTTCTAGTTCGTACATGGCAATTTGATCTTATTAAAAGTGTCTCCAAATCTTTACAAAGATCCTGCAGCAAAGTCAAAATTGAGTTTCTGTTTAGGCACTACATATTGGAGTATATATTGGGACACCATGGACAAGAAATCACGAACATGGTTGAAGAAACACTACTTAACAGCATGACCACTAACACTTACTGTTTGGATGCCATATTTCTGTAATAAACTTCATCCGAGGAGGTCGTAATGGATACTCTTTTGGGAAGTGTAGGTGTGCTTTGAAAAATCCACCTTCACTGAAAAATTTAATGTGTAGCATGTATCAGTTATGTGCAAATGATGTTCCAACATTCTTAATTTCCAAAATTATAGCAATAAAAACATTCATTAAAAAAAGTAAACTCACTATAGGGTGTCTGGAGGTCCAATAATAAGTACCTCCCATCGATAAATATCATTGTCGTCTATGAGGCCAGCTGAAAACCCTTCAACAGGGTTCTTGTTCAGTTCTGAAACAGGTTAAGTTAGTATTAGTTAATGCATCACACAACGTCATCTGAATTCCCAAAATAATAAAATAATTGAATTTGGTGGTTAGCAAAATGGTAACTGATTATATGCAAATTTCATAATGTAGCAGCCAGATGATCCTACAACTACTTGCAAAAGGTGTGCACTTGAAATTACTAAGTTTATTATATTTTCATACCTTACAGACGTGTTTACAATGAAAACACCAATGTATTGTATTAACTGCTGACGACAAAGAAGTGGTACAAGAGCGAGGTCGTAGTCACGCAAGAATAAATCACATTACGTCTCAGAAACTTCAATATTTCATGATCTCTAAGAAAAGAAACCTTATAATTAAGCATACCTGCTAGTTGTTTCCGTAATAAAAGAGCGGACTGTGGCTCTGACATGAATGAGGGAATACTTCAAATTTACACGGCAAACAATCACTCCCAGAAAAGATGGCTAGGTTCGAAAGCTCAAGGCCGCATGCGCAAGATTCCATATGCTACTTCCGGCAGTTGGAAGAAATGTATGAAACATTTACGTAACAAAATAATGCGTCCCTAGTGGCAGAACCTGTAACTAATAATCCGCAGCCAGTGTTATATTCCATCTACAGGAGAAATCTTTAACTAGAATCGAGATTTGATGAGCGCAGGGATGTCATCTGAACACAGGCACTTGAACTTGTAGGTGGGTGCTTTCAAAACGTCTCTTCTGTATTGCAGGTGTTCGTCACCCGGGTCAGCAGATAGGCAGGCAGAATTGTCTTGGGTGGCTAATAAATCTTTTGAAAGTGTTACAAAGTTCAAATATTTGGGGACAACAATAACAAATCAAAATGATACTCATGAGGAAGTTAAGAGAAGACTAAATTCCGGGAATGCATGCTACTTCTCAGTTCAAAATATTTTGTATTCCGTCTGATTTCTAAGAACCTGAAAATTAAAGTATAAAAAATTATTTTGCCTGTTGTTTTGTATGGGTGCGAAACATGGTCTCTTACTCTGAGAGAGGAACATAGGTTGCACGTGTTTGAGAATCGGGTGTTGAGGAGGATGTTTGGGCCAAAGAGAGAAGACGATGGGGCATGGCGAAAACTGCATGATAATGAGCTTAAAAATCTGTACTCCTCCCCTAATATTGTCAGGGTGATTAAGGCAAGAAGAATGCGATGGGCGGGACATGTAGCGCGCATGGATGGGACAAGAGGTGTGCACCGGGTATTGGTTGGGAAGCCTGAGGGGAAGAGACCGCTGGGGAGACCTAGACGTAGATGGGAGGATAATGTCAGACGGGATCTATGGGAGATAGGAGTTGAAGGAGACTGGATTTTGTTGGCCCAGGACAGGGTCCGGTGGAGGGCTTTGGTTAATTCGATGATAAACCTACGGGCTCCGTAAGCCATCTAGTTAGTTAGTTCGTTCGTTCGTCACCCGTACGCAGGAACTCGACACTAAACTTTATTTTGAAACATGTCTACGCAAAAGTGTAGTTCAAAAAGTATCGACGGTTGAGTACACATCGTTATTCTCTTGCCACATTCAGTGCAGTGCCATTTTAAAAGCTCCGTTAATACAAAGTACTAACTTCTACTTAGAACGATATTTGCAACTAAAAGTAACCATTCTATGACGAATAATTAACAGAAACAGGAGCACTGTACCACCTCCTTCCATCAGTCGCTACCCGTTGTCTGAATGGGAATCATCGTCTCCAACATTGATAATCACGGCTTTCATGTTCTCTGTCCTGTCATGAGTATCTGAGAACTGTGGCGCCCCTTTCTATCCTACGTGGTAGGCACAATTTCCCCACTTATTTACATTTATTTGACATTTATTTGCAGAAGCTAACATTATTCGTTTCCACCAAGGCTACCCTTTGACTTGGGTTTATAAGATCTGTATAGAATTCAGCTAACAGTGATATGGTGAAAAAGTTATTTATTTTGTGTTTTGACCATTTCGTAAACCACGGTCTTATCAATGAATACGTCTATGTTTTAAATATGATACTTTCTTGTAGAATGAGGTTTAAACATTCACAGGTCATTATCCACGAATCATTTCTCACTGCCAATGTTCATTGTAATTAGTCGCTTTCCTTCCTTTGACGGATTTCAGTCCTTTTAAAAAATCATCATTAGAAAACCTGATCGTCTGATACTGCATTAACCCAGATTTCATCTAAATAACAGATAATCTTAAACAGATAGATTTGCCCTCTTCATGATACCGTCTAATATCTGGAAGATTTCCGACGCTACAACACAATATCGTTTCTTTCTTGGGGACAGCTGTTTAATTTCAGTTTTCTGAATTTAAAACCCATGCTCTTTAGATTTTCATAAAGTTTTCTTCTTCAAATTACAGCTCGGAGCATCGTTCACAGCATTCAGGATCTTATCAACTAAAGATATTTCACTGCACCTTTAACTAACTCGTCAATGTTATAGGTTTTCCTTTTTGCAGCGACTGAGCCTGACTGGTGGATATACAGACCCTTAGTATCTTGAACACGCTACTCGTTGCCACTCCCATCACAGAGGTCGATTTTCCTGCTACGTCCGGTGGTGTTGTGAGAGGATTTTATATAACTTAAGCGTGTCTTTCACTCTATGGATACCGCGAGTGTTTCTCCATCGGAGATAGTTTATAACACCCGGTTGAGGATTTTCAGCCATGTTGAAGAACGAATCGCTTTACAGTGACAAAAGTAACAATAACAATAATTCAATTAAATAAGTTACTAATATAATTTAGAAGAGGAAATCTAATTGCATATAAAGACTGGAAGAGATTGGCCTTACTAAAGTGAAACAAAAACATAGTATATATATATATATATATATATAGTACAATGCAAATATAGTAAGGAATGTTCAGAGGTCTATCAGAATGTATGGCTACAATGTATATGCACATGTATGGTCTAGCTGAACAAGTAAATGATCAATAATAAAATTCTAATACACTCACTAATGTCTCTAACTGACCCGCTGTGTCGATAACCCACTGCCCTGACTTGTTTCCTTATTGCACTCATGACACGCCAGTGAACGATACCCGTGAATCTGTCATTACCGCAATGCAGCTGCAGTATTGCACCACTTACATGCTTCGCTGACAGCACTAATCAACACATTTTAATTTGAACCACTACCTACTCATCTCTCGTAGATAAAAGAAAATGAAAACAAAACACTGAGATGATGCGTCATACGACAACTGCTCTTATGACAGGACGAGTTTTAATGCAATAAGCGTGGAGCTTGGAGCTATAACCTAATACGTTCTGCGCCATGACATAAAGTTTCCTAATTGATCTTGAGAAATCAGCGCGTCTGTGTTAAACGTCACGCCATGAAAGCACACAAACAAAGGTAAAGGTTTATGGGAGTGAGTGGTTATCTTTATGCTCCGGCCTCTTTATCCTCGGGGAAAGTCCGTGAAAAATCTTGAACAGGGGGAAATGGTAGAATAGGGAAAATTTTCTAGAGTTCTTATCGAGGTTTAAACAGCAGTTTTTCAGATTAAAAATCGTGCTTCGAGGCCTCTACAGACAGAAAAATTGTAACACCTACGTGAAGAGTACAATTATGAAGTTATTTATTAGACCTATATTTGTTAATTCATCATTCGCCAGTCCGACCATTTTTCTCTGCACTTCACCTTATAATTCATCTGGATGAAAATGTTACTAATACAATATGGGTAGGATTGAAACTTAATACAGCGTTCCACAAAACTCCAGTCATATGGGTAGAGGACAGTAAATTAGTTAATGACTATGATTGTATCACGCGTTGAATGATAAGAGAAAGCTCGTTGAGAACGTCATGGTGCTTAATGAATATAAAATGAATAGAAAATGAATATTTTATCTAAAGTTTGTCTTGCAGAATAAAGTAGGTCTATTATAATGTGAAAAAATTCCGTATTTGCTCGCCCAAATAAATAACAACGTTGTATACGTAGATATCTATAGTGCTGTTTAGATTTCGCTCTGCTACGGCGGCAATTTCTCCGTCTCTTGTGTACTGCAAATAGTCGAAACGATAGGTGGCAGGCGCGACCTGTAAAGAAGGGAATGAAATCTACTACCGAGATTTTAGTTTCTCACGGCAGTGGAGATGTGGATTCTGGTCTTCTAGATTCTGCAGCCTTATTCGTGGTTACAAAAGTCTTGCAGAAACGCACTTCTATCGTCGTAACCCTGAATTTTTGTGCCAAAAATTTAATTCGAAAATGTAAGTTTAAGGCGTTTGTAATGGTTATTTTTTGTGCAGAATTGAAGGTGACAACAAGGTATCAAGCGAATTGTAAAAGTCTCAGTTGACAGACCTAAGATAAGCTATTTTAACCGACGACAGACTCATCGAACCGAGTCCTTCTTGATAAGATGACACTCGCTTTGCTGGTTAAAAAATTCCTCGCCTTTTTGGAAGTCATCATTGTGTGTTCACAAGTGTCCGCCACCGTAGCCTTACCAGAGCCACTTCAATGAAAGTAACTACAACTTAAATTAATTACTTAGTCACAGAGGCTGACATTTCGCACCAAATAGAAAGGTCAGAATTACGTCTGACTTTTATACCAAGTTACATACTCTCCTAACTTTGTAAATATAAGTATTCCGCGCCTCATAGGACATTGTTTTGGGCCCGAGTCTCATACTCCCTTGTTCTCAGACACACGCCCCCTGGCTCAACTACAGTTTTCGGCTTACTGGTACAAATTTGACACGGATATTGATCACTAAGCTGCGTTATTAACAATTTACTAGCGAAAATGGCCTGTTGAGAATCAATACGGAATTATTTATTTCCTATTTTCCTTTACATCCGTTTTCCTTACCTTTACTTCTTTCGTACCTATATATTCCTTAGAAGTATTTCTAAAAGCTACTTAATGGTAGCAGAATTTTTAAAATAGACATTCAGACATCTAGCTCCATTATGATGTCTTTGTAGGCCTACATATAGAAGCATCTAGAAGGTACGAGGGATCATAAGTTCCTCCAGAAACTTTTGTTAATGCTCAGTGTAATTCCGCAGATTCCCTTAGACCAAGTCCCACCTATTCGTTTGCCAACGTTTCCACAGAAATAGTGTGTAAGCAAAACCCAAAGCCCAGTAGCAGAAATGGAAAGGACAGGATGACAGGATATAACACATCGAAGCTCATTTTGTTTGTCATCACTTACGGTACCCAAGACACCGGCGACCCCCTTTGCCTGCTGTTGCCTACTGACAGATATATAACCCCGGTGCATCCGCTCCTGCTTTACACATCACGGATCAGCAATTTCTCATTAGTCCTATACGGTTACATAGAAAACCTGAGTGTCAAAGAAATCTTACCTTGATTTAAACTGGAGCACAATTTTACATGAAAGCTTAAAAGCGCTTTTCTGAATATAATAAAAAAATTAATAAATATATGAAATAGGCTTATTTGAAACAACTAGTAATCAGGAGCCCAGTATACTTAATGCAAACATGTTATGCTCATCTTGGAATATGCTATCTTATTTATATACCTACACCTCTGAATTCTCAGTGTAATGAATCAGGTCGTCTGGCCTGCTACGGTTCGAAAATAATTTCCGAAACAATGAATTCAACGAACAATACATTACAACAAAAATATCTGACACAGAAAAAGGCTCTGTTGTATGCAGTAAAAAAATAATTCAGAACTTAATGCTTAGCTCAGCAATAAAGAGTTTTAGTCCAGGCTAATGTCGATACAGTAGTTCAGCTTCTTTCACAACCACGTATCACGCATTTTGGGCGTTGAATTACAACTATGACCGATTTTAAATAGAACAATTATCTTCCTAAGTGGGCATAACTAACCACCTAGCTAATAATTAATGATGAAGAGACTAACTCGTTGTATTCGCCGTATAAAATACTACACATTACCAAAGAAATTAAGAAATTAGATGGTTTGAAAAGACTGTGCAACTTCAGAACGGGTCTAATGGGGGCAAAATTTGTAAGGAAAAAGACAGACTAACTCCATTTTAAAATAGTTTCCTTATAATATTAATCCAACGCTGTTGAAAATTCGAGTGCAAGGTTTGAGTAAAAGTAGCCCGTTTCACCGCAAACATCATCTAGAATAAGTGTGAGTTGGTTCTGTCATTTGTAACATTAAGGTTTGTTGGCCTGTCCATTTTTTTCTCTTTTTAATAAAAAGAAGTTGACTTTCGGACGATTTCTGTGAACGAATAAAAAAGTGTGAGATACTTCGTGCTGGTTGTCGTTGAGGGAAATGCTGCATGTAATTGCGGGGGCAGAGCGCTACAGCCACGCGGATGGAGCGATGGTAGCGGCGACTAGCAATGAACCCTCCGCGGAGGATACACCAGACTGGGAACTTACGAAAAAATAACGCTGAAACGCCGGAAGCAACTAAATAAATGCAGCAGAACAAATGCCTACTGACGATAATTATGATGACAATCTTGTTCTTCATTTTTATTTTCTATCCCCCAAACTCAGACTGAGGACCGTTTTACCCCCCACGAAATCCTAAATACGATAAATATGAACCTGCCAAAATAGTCTGTTTCATCCAGTGTCTGTGCAATGCAGTCCAGTCAGTCTCTTAAGATAAAGAGGCAACTGTAAGCATGGACCGGACTGAAGGAGACTCCACTTCACAGGAAGGACATGCAAGTCCTAATTCCTCCGGTGGGTCGGCGGCAACTCTCACCACACTGCGTATGTCATCGACGCAAGGGGGAGCCCCGCCTCTCCACGCACACGACACCCAGGGCTCTGTACCAATGGGAGAGCTTGGCCACCAGCACGTGGCTCTCCCTCCGGAGTGTTCCCGCCCAGAAGCAGTCATGTTTCGATGAAAACAGACCTCACAAACCCACAATCACAACGGCATAAGCGTAGCCTATGTGAATTGGGTAAAGAGACAATTTATACGCATTTAAATGCAACAAAAAACATGCATAAGTCGATTACTCGAACAGGACTACTGAATCCCGTAAACCTGTTGTCGTTGTTGACGCGAAGGGGTGAGCCTATGTTTCTAAGGAGCTGCCGTCGCGAACGGGTCCATTGTCTAGTCCCTAGATGACACGCGAGTGGATACGGATAAGCGGTGGGAAGATACTGAAAAATCCGTCCTAGTAGCAAGGACTGCCCTGGGCGCGAACCCCTGCCTCAGCAGTGGGAAGACGGCGACTAACCGCCTTACCGTTGACCTGCATGCACATCTCTGTCTGCCTCTGCAATATTCAAAGAACCAGATTTCGCAGATAAGTTATTGGAGAAGCAAACGAGAACACCGTTTGATAGACTATCGAGCCGATATAGTAGAAGATATAAAAAAAACAGACCTGCCTATTTTTGTGAGTGAGCACCATAACATGAAGACATCTGCAAGAGATGAATTCGCAAGTGCGAAGTAATATAATATTATTTAACGAAACGCCACCCAAAATTAAAATGCTGGCAGCCATTTAATGAACTACAGGCCTACGGTTTAACAGTTCACGCCGCGCTTTCGAAATCTGGATGTCTTCGTCTGCTACGTGGTTTCAGACACCCTAGAAATAGACCCCTCTCACACTATTTAATTAGTGGCTCGTGTGATGAAAGTGGTCTACTACAGAACAGTTAATACAACAGTTAAAATACATTTTTTTAGATTGATCCGTGCATGGAGTTCTGAACATTTTGCTGTTGCTATCCTGGTTTTCCTTATAGACATAATGACTTACGTGCAGGAGTGTCAATGAGTAATTCATTTGTCCGTAGCCCCGTTACAGGAGCTGAACTGGGCCAATTAATTATATAGGTTATAATATTCCTATCTGCCTATTCGAGAATAAAGATTTACCGGTAAAATTAAACAAATGTAATCAAATGTGTGGGACAGTGAGTAGAATGTTAAAACAGAAAAGGAAAGGTACACATACAGCATTAACATTTTATAAAATGATTGCGATCGAAACATTATGGGCATTAACAAATATTACCAACTGTAGAAATTAAAATGGCTGTCTTTTGGCAGATACTAACCGATGCTTTATAGAAACTTATTTATCGCCTTTGAAACGTCAGTCAATATTTACGAGACTGCACGCATGCTCGTCGCCATGAGAACCCCAAATCTCACCGTGTTCTGAGTCGGCGCAATCAAGTTCACGTCTTCAGTTAAAACTGCATCTGACTGGAAGGAATTTGACGACGCTTGTTGCATGACAGCTGCTCTAAAACTATTTTGAATGACACTGATCCATCAATGTTGTAATTATAATAAGACGAATTTTCATAAATTCCTCTTTCGACTTGTAAAGTAGCCGTTTCTTCGCGATAAAATTCGTGAGACTCTGTAACTTAATGCACACTAAAACCTGTCAAGGAAATTATATTTTTGGTCACATATGTCCAGGAACTGGCTAACTAATATGAATATTCTGTGTCCGACTTCTTCCTTTTAATCTCCTAAGTGATTTTCCTAATAGGATAATTTGGTTCTGTTAATCTGTAGGCCTATACTGAACTCGTAGTTAAAATTAAATTCTGTAACGCACTGGCCTTCAGTGTTTCCAACAATTAGGAAAAAGTTGAGTTTCATCTCATCCTCCAGTTCCATTCTCAATCCATTGAAGTGTAGTAAGGCACCTGCTGTGAAGAAACTACATCACGTGAATGAACCAAGTGGCCGGGACAAGATTTCCTTTCGCCACCCTGAGAAGACCGGTCCTAGGATTAAGCAACATGCCACACCTTTGGCACTAGTTGCTCGGGCATCCCCTTCCCCGAAGGTAAAGCTGCGTGAGCGTTAAGCTGACGACTTATCTCCGGATAATTCCGAATCTAGAACGCATTGAGATTTCCCACATTCCCCGCATAAGCGCTCAAGTTGACGGAACAAACCACCGACTATCCATTCTCGTTACTGACGCACGTCGTTCACAGATTGACTCCGCCCCTAAGGCTTGAAGATCTGTTCACCTCTCCCACCCAAGACTACAAAGATAGATTCCTACGCTCTTTGCCAATGAGATGACAGAAATGTCTCAGCAGAAGTGAGGGTGGGAAAGCCGTCTTGAGCACGACATCTTCCACAGAGCAGTCTGAGTCTCTGTTGACATACTGTGAGGATAGACACACGAGGAGTATCCTACTGATGTGAGGACAGGAGTGAACCGTGAAGATTTTGGGATCGTGTATGTGTATCGGTGTGTGCCTCCATTCTACAGATACGCATTTGGGGAATAAGAATGATGTAAAATGTGGGAGGGGGCAGCTGTGCAGAGGGAGGGAAGGTAGGAGTAATTATAGTGTTGATGGTAGCAAAACTGATATTTTTATCTTTCATAGTGATTCTGGACAATATTTTATAAAACGTAAAGTGAAACGGAAAACAAAAGAGATTTAAAGCGTGTGTATTTTTTTTTGTCTTTGCAGACGTAGGAATGCATTTTGGACGTGCGTTGTTGAAGTCAGACCTGTTACTATCTTAAATACGTGCAAATAGCCCAATTCGAGAAATGCGCTAATTTGCAATGATTTCATAACTTACCAATGCAGTATTTAGACATATTTTCGTAATCAAATTTTTACTCTAGTAGCCTTTTCATGAATATTTTAGAATACTACCACTTTCATTCAGATTTTAGAAACATGCCCCTCCTTAGATGTAATACGGTAAAACATAGAAAATATTTAAATATTAAGATCCGTAGAGTTAGCTAACTCTTAACATTCAAATGATGTGTAGTATTAGATTAGGCCTATTAGGCCTAGGCAGTTATTAAACTGACAGCAAATCTGGCAATTGAATACAGACCATCTTCGCAATAAAACAGAATAATTATGTCAAATATTGGCTTATTTCTGCATAATTTTACTTATCAATTTCGAACTCGACAGCGAATAGATTAAAACCCACTCTTCCACTCAGTCAAATATAGTTGATAGCCACGGCGGCGTAGTTGTCACTTCGAGTAATCGATAATCTTTTATTTTGCTTTAAGTCAAAAGAAAAACTCGCCCCGAAGAATTAATGGGAGGTGACGAACATTTACACTTTTGTTCTCTGTTATCTTGGGTAAAGATCGCGGTTTAATTTCTAGCTAAACGCTCACTTGTTACGTTGGCGTGGCATCAAAAGACGTAAAGAGGCGTAGACTGAAGCTCCCACGCTTCTCGAAGTGTGACTTAAAATTTCTGTTTTAAAAATACTTTCCTTTGATTAATAGCTACAGTTTATAACGAACGTATTTTACTATCCTTTAAAGCATTAAATTCTCCTAAAAGGAACACAAATATTTTCAGTAATCCGAAGATCAAGAACATTTTCACAACGCAATACTGAGATTTAAAACTTAACTAGGCACGAATTTTATATTATGAAAGTATATGCATAAGCTAATTTATTAGACAGTGGTGTATAACAAAAGACAAACATTTAGGACTACTTATCAATTAAATTATTTACGCAATTTACTTAATTTAATTTAATTTAATTTGTTAGTTGTTTAGTGTTTTTGCAATACTAGAGGTGTAATTATAGATCAATGAAGACTGTTCTACTGTTTTTCACCACCGACCGTCAAAGTTAAATTTTAACGGATTCTGGGTGACATTCCATGTTTTCACGGCGGCGAGTATAAAGGTATTTTCTGTCTTCTGGGAAATTGCGCCGTGTAGTCTGGTAGTTTACCGACGTTTCAGAGGCACTGGCTCTCTCCATAATGAGGGCCATGGCTGATGAAGGCAGCAAGCACCTCTAAAACTCCGGTAAGCTATCAGACGACATGAAGCAACATCTCAGAAGACAGAACAGACCTTTGTACTCGCCGCCGTGGAAACACGAAATCTCAGTTACTTATTAAATATAAGAAATAGAATTTTCATTCCATGTAACGTAAATTAGTTCGAATTCGCTTAAACATATATTTTAGCACACGTTTACGTTCACAGTCTTTCTTTAATAATGTCTTACTTTAACCTAACAACACTGACTCAATATTCTTACAAACAGTCTGACGAGAGGTCTACAAACATGAGTCTTTCTAGAATTCTGCTTATTTAAATTATAGAAAAGAAAATGGATCATAAGATCGTGAGGTGTGTAGCCCCTACAGGAAGACGACATATTCTTCCACACACTCTAACAGTTGTCATGACCTCCCCTATATGCTAAGAGCAGTTTTCAGCATAGTGGTTTGAAGCAGTACACACACACACACACACACACACACACACAATATACGATGATAAGAGATTTTCAACACTACTGAATAATGTGCTTGCTAATTTTAGTTGTCAGAACTACTTCCATCATGAGATGATGACCGGCATGTCTTACCATATGCACCTCACAATCGCGACAGGAGATGAAAAACGAAACATTTGCCTTTCATCGTTCTCCTATTAACATTTCCACTGAAGGAAAGACGCTAGTACCCTAACTTCGTTACTTATAGTCTTTAAGAAACAGCAACTGTCTATTATAACACGCGGTTTTCGGCAGTGCGTAACTAGTAACGACAGAAAACAAAACTACGAAAACTACTTCATGCATTTTGTACCCAATTTGTTAACACTTTGTCATCAAATGCGTGGCGAAATTTTAATACATATAACAATAAAACTTGTTTGAAATGACGTCTTCAATATTGTACTCTTCTGTAATGAGGTATGGTAATATATCCATGAGAAGTAAAGTAATTCTTTTGTAAAGCAGACATCGGGCATGACAACAACAAAACTATTTTAATGATTGATGACTAAACCGATAATAATTGTAACTGGACGCGAAAACTTTATACGTGTTTGTTTAAATATTGTCAGTCAAATCACAATAAAATTCCTATTAAATATTAAAATATTACTAAAATTAACATTTCGATAGAGAACATCATTTTAAATATTTAAATGTTAATTTTAGTAATATTTTAATATTTAATAGGAATTTTATTGTGATTTGACTGACAAGATTTAAACAAATATATATTTATCACAATATGACGCAAATTTATCATCTCATTTATATGTGTTATAAATTCATCTAAAATCACGGGAGTGGAATTCAAACATGCAGGGTACATTGCTGGTCTTCTGGGTTGTAACGCTGTGTAGATTTGTAGGTATATACAACAGTTTCAAAGAACATACTGCCTCCATTTCATGGCTAAAGTTCTCCGAGACGTTGGTATCTACTTAAAAGAACCACACGGAGTTATAGCCTAGAAACCTGACACTGACATCCTCACGGTATAGCCTAACTCCGAAACTTGTGCAAGTGCCTTTAATAGATCGTCGGATGACCCATTATGAAATTTGATACACGGCTTCATGAAACTAGTTATCATAATTAAAAATAACAACTTAAAATAGCTTATTTATTTTTATAGATTATTTTCAGCATTTCCTTAACTAATTGTTTTAATTTTACGCAGGAACGAAACATATACATTTAGGAGAAAATTTTATAATTTTTCTGGGTAATTTCAAACGTGCTGTGCAGTTTCTGAAGAACAGCCGCAAATTAAAGCACAATTTAAAAAAAGGGCTTATAACTTCTAATTCGAATTTTTCCACGACAGATTTTGTTCCTAAGCAGTCGATCGCGGATTCTGTCTCGCAGTTCCCGTAAAGAGGTCAATCTCAGAACCGCGTCCATGCTGCTGCAATGAGTGTCGATAAAGATATTCCACTCAGCAGAGTATGGGACGAGACTGCATTCATACGGAACGTGTGGCACACGAGCACCTGCAAACAAAAACTGTTACGGAACAACCCGGTTTCCCCGAATAAATTAGCATTTCAAGTTGTGCTTCACTTTTTGGTCACTCTGTATAGTACAGACCCACGAAAAATATTGATTTTGTGAGGACATGTTGATACAGGCTAGTGTTAAATAGGCCTATATTTCTAATTTACTTCGAAACCAGCGATAGAATTCCATGGAACCACAGAAACATCGCAAAGAAGTGTCGACAGTTATACAATCAAATTAAACGTTGTTTCGCCTCTGGCAGTCTCTCCGGTGGCCATTAAGTGCTGAAAATTACTACAGGAGTGAAAGCATGCGAGCAGTTTCCTTGATAAAACTGTCCGGTGTAGTTTAAAAAGTGTTCAACTTGAAAACTTTATTGACTACACGTGCACAACGGAGAACACTCTAAGGCACTGCCATTCAAAAAGGAAAATATATACACGCACAACATGGTCCTGAAGCTAATTCAAACTATAAGTTTTAAGCGCGATTCGACACTATGAGACACCGCATATTAACTTATCCTTGTCCGTCCGTCCGTCCTCCTGTCCGCAAATAATGAGCTAGGACGAACTGTTTCTGTTGAAAGCAGTGGGATCTTCCTCAAGATATATTCAGAACAATAAACAATAATTTTGTTTCGCGTGGGTTTATCTCTCGCCCTGATTAAAGAGCACAGATTGAGGGAGACGATGCTGTTCTTGTTGGCTGCGACGCCGCGCGCAGACTCGTAGGCGGATGCCAAAGTTTTGGAGAAACATGCCGTCCCCATCCTCAGCAAATAGGTATATCCTTTTGTAGGGGAGCCTGTGAGTAGCTCTACCAGAATTGGCCAGAATGGTCTTTTGAATTAGAGGCGCTGAATCTTCCAGTTCTGTTACCTCACGTGCACAGACAACTACTAGCTACTTGGCTAATGCTTTACCCAGTTAAGCAGGTATAGGGGGATTGGGGGGGGGCAGGATAGTTAAGTAGCACATTTTCATAAAACTTTAGGCCTATAAACGTTTGTTTCTAAGATTATTAGGCTGATCAAATCAAGAAGATTGATAAGGGGGGGGGGGGCAAGTAGTACGCATGGGTGCGAAGAGAACTGCATGCAAAATTTTGGTAGAAAACCATGTAGGAAAGATGTCGCTACGGAGATAGAGACGTATATCGGAGGATAATATTAAAATCGAACTTAAAGAAATATGATGACTTGAAAAAGGCGTGGACCTAATTCATGCAGCTCAGAATAAGAAACAGTGGCGATATTTTTAATACGGTAACGAATGTTTGGGTTACGTAACAGGCGGGGAATTTCTTGAATAAATGGGTGACTATTGTCTAAGTCTGTTCAATGGACATAATTATTTAGATAGCCTAATTATCTTCTAATTCTGAGTGGACTTCATGAGAGGTGTATATTTGTCATCTGCAGTGAAATCGACATATCTTATTCTTAGTATGCTCTGCTGTTTTTAAAGGAATATTTCGGCTGTTTAGTGGTCATTTGTAACTGTTTGCAGATCTGAGATGCGATTATAAGGAATCTCTTGTCTAGTATTCTAGAAATGTGCCAAAAAATGACGATACTGCGTAAGGCAATGGACTGAGGAAAACTTATAAGCATCCATAAGGATAAACGGTTGTTCTAATAGAGTGGTATTTATTTTAACACAAGTGATACATGGGCGGAAGTTTCGAAGCCTCGAAGTGACTTTCATCGCGCGTGAGACGTGTCCTGTGACCGCTGATGCGGCAGACGTGACTGGGAGTTAGGGCAGCTAAGCCCCTGAAAAATGCAACATCCTGGACCTCACTATGGGACTGCTGCCATTCCAGGAATTACCGGGACGTGGGTCCCTGCAGGAATCAGCAGCCCCGACTGGGGCGCCCAACAGCCCCTTCCGTCATACTCAACACCGATGAAGGAAATGGAAGGTAAGACCAACTGTAGATAGGAACGAGGCTTCTAGACAGCATTTCTGTGTAGCAGACATACGCATTATGGGTTGCCACGAATTGACGGGAGAAAAGTAAATCTTCTGCTTGAGTCCGCGATCGCCAAAGAAATTTACTATCGAAAATAACATGTATAATAATAACCAAGATATTCTAAATAATCCTTTCAAAGCGTATCAGATAAAACAATGATGAAAATCTGCCACAAAATGTATGACATAAATTTACAGGTAACGGTAAGCCTATATGTATCTTTGTTACAACGTACAATGCTGCGAAAGCGTACGGGTGACGTGGAGGTAATGTTCTAGACCTCCTCAGCACGAGATGGAAATTGCCAGTTACTCCCGATCACAACTGCATGGATCGGCCCCAGAAACAGTCTGGATGTGACGACAAACGGAAACATTCCTCCCACTGATGCAAAATGGATCCATAGCCTTCAACCCTGTAGCCAGCGTGTTCCAGATTTTTCTACTGATAAGATTTCTAACGCTGAAGTGCACTAACCGGCCATAAATACACAATTTGGGGGGGGGGGGGGGGGGG